GCACTTTAAGTACATTATGGAAGTGTACTTTTTTTAACCTGGGAAGACGGAGGGGGCAAAATGTGTCTTTCTACCATTAAACATCTCCGTTCTTCATTTTCAATTATTACTAAATGTAAAACACATTGTTGGACAGCACATATATATTGTATATATACTGTAAGCATTAGCTTTCAAATAATATTGAAGTTAGGACAGCTGTGGGGTTGCCGTAAAGCTAAGACAGTTTCAGGATTTTTGTCAAGTTTCTGTAATACCCTCTTCCTATCTGTAGTCAAGATAATACTGTTCTGTAATAGCTTTTGCCCTTAATGTGGTCCTAACTGAAATGACCATGGTTACCAAACAGACAAGATGAGATTTTAAAGTTAGGATCTTTCTGTATGACGCCGCAGGTGAACCAGAGCAGAACCCCCGCCGAAGCTCCGTCTGTCTTTATCAGACGCACCTGAGATCCAGGACGGCGTGAAGGCGTCGGAGAGCCAGGACATGTATCCCTCACGCAGCGAGCGCAGGAACGGCTCCACGTCTGCGCAGGACAGCAGCTGCTCCGTCTGCAGCAGATCCGCGCTCCGCACACAGTCCGCAGACAGGAACAGCACTCTGGGAATGAAGAGATTGGGCCGGAGGTTCAGCCCGCAGCGCTTCATGTGGCTGTGCAGGTTGCTGGTTTTCTCCTGCAGACACAGACACCAGCAGACCCACATCATCTGCTGAAGACACTGATCACAAACACACTGAATGTGACGGAGGACCGGATCACATTCAGATTCAAGACGCTCAAATACTAAATAATAAGCATATCAGGGACAGTAAAGAACCATTTCAAAAAACACAAAGTGACAATCAAAAAGCTGTAATTACTTCATACAGTATATTTGCAGTTTGTAAAAATGTAAACAAATCCACTTAGAAAATGTTAAAAAATATATGGTAAACATATTACAGCTTTGTTTATCATATGTTCTCATATTGATTTGGTTTAATTTTTGTAATGTGTTTTTGTAAAGTTATGTGCTGGCTATTTGCAGTGGTATGATTTACTATTTGCCATTGTGTGATTTTTGGTGAATTTTATAAAACCCATTTGGGTCAATTTGACCTGCAAACATTATAATAATTATTAATTATAATAATAGTGTTTTACGGTGGTCGAGAGAGCTCAACGCGCTGCAAATGAAAAAACACATGCAAATTAAGAAAACATCTT